CACACACACACACACACACACACACACACACACACGTACATATACGTATAGTATATTGATAGACTCCTGATAACGGCTGATATCATATGTGCGTCAATGGTTGCACGGGGACGTGTAAAAACTGTCATGGTAAAAAATCGTTCCGTACGGTACCTATAGATGGCGCTGACCATTTGCGGGTAAAACAAAACGAAAAATGGCGGTTGATCAAAGTAGAACTGTGGAGGTTCTGTTAAAATTTTCAATCTCGCAGCTAAACAGCGGTAAGTGGCTCGTTATTCTTGTGGAAACTAATTTTAAGCAATCGAACTACTCAGATATGTATAGGTTTGCGAATTCATTACGACCACTGTGTAAGCAATAACCAAGGGAATAACAAAGCCACTGCGTACAACGCCAATGTTGTCATCCTACTAGTACTAGTACTACTAGTACTAGTACTACTAGTACTAGTACTAGTAGTAGTACTAGTAGTAGTACTACTAGTACTATTACTAGTAGTATTACTATTAGTATTACTTAGGTCTATTACTATTAGTATTATTTGAAAGTATTATTAGATCACAGGCCCTTGTAGGCTCAAGTTTCAAGAAGAGTATATTAAGAGCGAAGCGTCATGATGGATTCAAAGGCGTGTAGTAGGCACGAATGTGGATTCTGCAGGCAGACGCGGGGCGAGAGAAGTAGAGGGGGGTTCTGGCAGCTGGACCCATTCTCACGCACTCCCGCATGCCCTACGTATTCTCACGCAAAAGAAAAAAAGCAGCTCGCGACACCCCTGTTACCCACGTCCGTGGTTGTGCACATCGTGGCTCGTGCTTGCTGGCTGGGATGGCATTGATTGAAGTATGGGGGGGGGGGCAATGCACTGATTGTAACAGTCGCGTGGGCATGCTTATTGCAATGCTGTATATGTAGCACAGGAACTTGGAACGTCTCAATACAAAAAAATAATGGTAAATAAACACGAAATGTACCAAAGTCTTAATGTTTCTCTACTCTATTTCGCCTATAATTACTTGTAAATGCCGGTCAAATGCTCATATGCAACACACAAGTACACCGCAAGCCTGCCCGCCCTGTGCTGCGTGCACAAACAAAATATAAAGAGGACGTTAGCATCCGAAAATCCCTACTTTCGATCGATCGCTGTAGTCGTGTGTGCGTGACGTCATTCTTGCGCGCATTGTGCTTGGCTTGGCGGGCCTCGAAATGGAGCTCGGAGGCCGGCAGCAGTTCATCCCGGCATGCAATGCGCCCCATTACTCGTGTATAAACAGACATCTCGTCCTCTTTACATTTTCACGGAGAGAACATTTCCTGCAGGATTTCACGAGATATCTCTGGTGGGAGTAGGTAAGAACAAAGGCCAGAGTTCTAATTCGAACAAGTGAACATTTATGTACACATAGATACCAAGATGGAAGCTGTAGGATGTGTATTCGAGCTGTGATGGTGTGAAATGAAGCGAGCGCCGAGCGAATTTTGCGATCACGCTTTCCTACCTGCTCTCTTATTCATGTTGTTTGTGCACACAGCACAGGGCGGGCGGCCGGGCAGGCGGTGTACTTGTGTGTTGCATATGAGCATTTGACCGGCATTTACAGGTGATTATAGGCGAAATAGAGTAGAGAAACATTGAGACTGGTACATTTCGTGTTTATTTACCATTGATTTTTTTTATTGAGACGTTTTAAGTGCCTGTGATATGTGGCACAGATATATGATATATGATGGTATTATATGATATATGATGGTGGGCACCGCTGGTATGAGGGAGCGACAGCAAAACTTTCCCGGAATCGAGGAAAAAGCTGCAATTGATCGGGAATGAGACAGGAGTGTGCCGGCACGCAAAAAGTAACGTTGCTGTGAATTTCATTACGATTTTCCATGTATATAGTCAGAAGCACGTGGTGATCTCTATTTATTTTTGGATTGACACTATTTTGACAACGGCGGGTAAATACAGGAACATTTTCACAACGGCGTTGTTAAATTTGACAATGGCGGTGCGGCGCAGTGCCTCCTATGTAGAAGAAAACGAGCAAAACCCAAGTATCAGTTGTTGATAATTGGATATATTATATAATTAGGATATAATTGGATTTAAATTAAATAAAAATAGGCAAGACCCTAAAAGTATACCCAGTTTTAGATTTTCATGTCTCTATCCCAGTGTTAGAGCTTTAAAATAAAAACCACTCGCTAAACTGGGCGAGTGAGTCAATAAGTTAACTCGCCCAAACGGAATCTGTACTCGCCCAAATTTTAAAACAAAAATGCTTGTCAAACAATAGTGAAAAAACACAAAAACACCATTGATTTAACTACATATGTAATTCATTGATCACGTTTCTCAAAACCTCAAGGCACATCTCCTCTGAAAGTTCATATTTTCATTTTCATTAAATTTTCTTTTATTCTCGGGCTGCTTTGCCCCATCAATGAAACGTGACGTTACGCCAATTTTATTAAATTGTTAACACCAAGACGAGCCAGTACTTAGTAGCGCCGTCGCTACACTACCCACGATGCG